AGTGATGGTTTGGGGGTGCCATGTCATCTGCTGCTGTTGGTCCACTGTGTTTTCTGAAGTCCAGTCAATGCAGCCATCTATCAGAAAAATGTAGAGCACTTCATGCTTTTGTCTGCTTACGAGCTGTATGGAGATGCTGATTTTATCTTCCAGCAAGACCTGGCACCGACCCATGCTGCCAAAGGTACCTAAAGCTGGTTCAATGACCATGGTGTCCCTGTTCTTGATTAGCCAGCAAACTCCCCTGACCTGAAGTCCATAGAAAATCTTTGGGCTGTTGTCAAGAGGAAGACACCAGACCCAACAAGGCAGATGATCTGAAGACAGCTATCAAAGCAATCTGGGCTTCCATTACAGCTCAGCAGAACCACAGGCTGATCGCCTCTATGCCGTGGTGCATTGATGCAGTAATTCATGCAAGAGGAGGCTCAGCCAAGTATTGAGTGCAAAGAAAAGGGCATACGTTTCAGAAGCATTTCAGAACATTTTTTTTGATTGATCTGAGTTATTTTAATTTTCTGAGACATTGAACTTTGAATTTCCTTACCTGTAAGCCATAATTATCAAAATTACAAGAAACGGTAAAATATTTCAAGCTTTTGATGTGGAATGATTTTATGAGTTTCACTTTCTGAGATGACTGGCAAAAGATATTGCACTTTTAGTCAATATTCAAATTTTTTGGGATCTAGCTGTAGTTACCATTTAAGATGAGCTAAAATGTAACCCCTTAAAATGGGTGTGAAAGTTCTGCTTGGAAAACTTGAGATTTTTAAGACACTTTAATTTTGGTGTTGGCTGGATTACAGTAACATTCAGTAATACTTGCAGGTTGGAGGCAAAGCATCTGATGAGCTGAAGAGGTTACTCATGGTGCTGATGATGACTCTGCCAGGATCACCTGCTTTCAAGTTTAAAGAAGAGATCGACCGAACATGGGTAAAATCAGTCCAGCAGTTCTCTGTAATGGATTTAAAACAACGTACCTAATGATCTCATGTAAGGAGGTGAACTGTTAGATCCTCACAGAGTAACATGAGGTAGAAATTATGCCATATTTCAAAGTTCTACCCTCACTATGATTCCAGAATGTTGAAATGAATGAAATCTGTTGTAATATCGTGATTTTTGTAATGGTTTGCCATGTTTCCTCACCATTCCACCTTTTAGGATGAGAAGCCACCGCACTCTGAAGTTGCCCTCTTCTCAACCCTCAGCCACTCCAAATCCAGAGAAGAAGCCCTCCTCTATGGCCGCTTAACATTCCTTCCCTTTAACACTACCAACAGCTTTTCCTTAAGCTCGTTTTCCAACTCCTCTGTTTCCTCTCCTCCCGTCCTGGCCTTCCTACGCTCCTGGGGTTGCGTGCAGTTCCTAGTTCTGCTCAACGTCTGGCCTGAGCCCCTCTCCCTGGATCCGGCCTGGGCTCCGAGCCTGCCTGAAAATGGGGTGTTTGTGGCTAGCACGGGCATGAACCGCATGGGGTTGACGTCCCTGTATTCCATCAAGCTGCAGCCTTACGAAGCCCTTGTGATCAAGCTCTTTAAGCCAGGAGGCTAATCGTAGAGCTTCAGCTGAGTTGAGATTTGAATGTCAGGATATGTTGTTAAAGACAAATAGATGGGTTTTAAACTTCTGTTACATTTGCTGTGAATACCTGCTTCATTTGAGCATTCTCAAATCATTCTGTTTGCCTCTTTAAAGTTAATCTGTTGAAAAACAATTTATTCACAGAAAATGTTTTGGTAGGTTAACAAGGGAAGTGCATTTTCTGATTGTTGCTGTATAAGTACAACAGTGCCCTGAATTTCTGTGGACAATCAGGAAAAAAACTTGGGTATATGAAAAGATAATGGCCTTTGCTGAAGATCTCAACATTGTCAAACATGGTGCTTCTTTTGCTGTTCCCAGACTAGTGCTATCAACTGTGAAAAGATCATGTTGAGTCAAGAAAAAAACATGTGGAGGCAGTGGAAACAATGTTAACATAAACTCCAATGTCACATGAAACATTGTGGAATATTTTTTCTTGGCAGTAGTTTAGAGGTTGGTCCCTCAGCTAGTTTTGAAACAAACCACAACCACCTCCTTGTTGCTTGAGAAGCTAATGTTACTACTTCACAGCCTTCATGTGGTGTTTGGGTCACCAATTGAATTCTTGCAACTGATGGTTTGTGGTAATTTGTTGGCTGTTCTTCTGCCAGTTTCTATTGCCTCTGGAAGGAAAAATTCAGTAACTTGGAAAAAGTATCCACACCCTTTGAACTCTGACTCTGCGATTGGGACAGCAAACCTGCTTGAATTATATTGTGAAGTGAAAGAAAAAAAACTTTTTGAGTATTTTTAATGAAAACTGTTGTGCTTTTATATTCGGCTTTCCCATCTGCTAAAGGAAAGTACCTCCACATTATGATGCTGCCACCTCCATGCCCCCCCCTGGGAATGGTATGCTCAGGATGATGTACAGTATTGGTGTTCCTCCACACAGGTTTCATCTGACCAGTGCACCTTTTAAACATGTCCCTCCATGCGTTGTTAAACAGGAGTCCCAAATCCCTTTTTTCTTGCCGCTCTTCAATTAAGGGCAGATTTGTGAAGTGCTTGACCAGTCTTCGTCCTGCTCCCACCTGAGCTGTGAATTTCTGCAGCCAATCCAGAGTTACCATTTGCCTCTTGGCTGCTTTTCTGTTTAATCTGCTTCACTAATGTTCTGACAAATATCTGAGGCCTTTAGTAACCAAAAACTCCCTGTGTGTAATACGATTTCATTATAAATACAGCAGTTTAACAATCGGGTGACCTGAAGGAAAATTTTTGCACTGGGTGTAATTTAAGTGTCAGATTAAAAATGTCTGAATACAAATGCCTGACACTTTCAGAATTGCATTCAAAAACTATTTTGAAAAAAACATTTTTTACACTGGCATATGTGCTAATTTCTGTTGAACCGTCAAACACAATCCTTATAAAATACACTGCAGTTTGCATGTAATGTAAAATGTTCAATGAATCATTTTGCAAAGGGCTGTTATGATTATTTAGTTTTGATGTCAACATTGGATTACCACTTGGTGGTGCTACAGCTCCACTAACAGCTCTTCTAGCTTGTTTTCTTTATGGGCTACATTATAATTCAATGCATTCAAATGAGAAACTGTCAACTTTGTACAACTTTTTTTTTTTTTTTTGCTATGTTACTGCTTTGTAGTTTTAGACAAGTCAACAACAGATGTGCCAATGAAGTATGTGCTGTTGCTGAATTCCTGAAACATTACAGTAACTATCAAAATGCTGTCGAATTTAAATTACTGCATAATTTCTTGGATTGAAAAGGTAAATTGATCTACAGCTCTCATAAACCTGCATACAAAAAACGCTAGCCTTTCTGGCAACGCCGTTACAGTATCAATAGTGAACAAACAAACACTCAGCACAAGGTTCAGCCTGTAATAGATTCCCTGGCCTCTTTTATATCCCTTTGTAAAATAAAAATGCTCTATTGGGGTGCATTATGAAATAAACCAGATTAAAAAAGAAATGGGTTTAGGTTGCACAGAAAATGTCATTACTCCATCATGTTAAAAACAAAGTCGTCTTTCATGAGGTTTTATTTTATTTCACATGAACAAAATGTGTAAAGTGGAAATTCCTTTTTACACATTTTATATTTGCTTACAGATCAAATAACTCCATACACTTCAGGAGGAAACATGCAGATTGCATGGAAAAGAAAAAAGGTGGCTGTATGCTGTGAAATGTAAAAAAAAAAAAAAATCACCATGCATTTCATCAAAAATTGATAATTTTATAGCAAAGAGCACAGTGAACAATCATAAATAACAGTCAACATAAATCCACAAATGATTAATTCTCACACTGCTTGTTGAAGCAGCAGATGTCTCCAAAAGCAAAATGCTTTTAACACCAATCATTCTAGGTAGCTTTGAAATCGGTGATGGTGAACAGAAAAGTGAAATCTGGTGCATTTAGTACAATAACCTTGTGGGGTATACTATATTTCTTCTAAAGTGGTAATTCAATGAGATGATGGCATCTTCAGGCATTTAACTACTGTACTGTGGGCCTAAAAATACTTGTTAGTTTGGTTTAATTTGCATTCAGTAAACCCTAAACATTTTAATGCAAGCATCTATTTTACATACCTGCTCATTCCTTGCAACACATTAACACATAAGAAACTATGCAAGTGCACATTTACACCTAGGGTGAATTTATGGTGGCCAGTTAGCCTAACATGCATTTTTTGGAATGGTAAAAGGAGAGAAAGAACAAACTCCACACAGTCAGTATTTGAACCCAGGACCTTCTTGCTGCAAGGCAACAAAATGAAAAATGTACAACAGATTTGATCTTTTCTTACTACAATCATTATTTGCTGTAGGTGATAGTGTATGCTAAAAGCAAACAAACTTTCTCAGTTTGGTATTTAGGATTTTTTTTTTTTGTTTATTACACGGTGCTTCTGGAAAGCCAGATAGCAGCCTAAACTCAACATCTGTATTTAAAACAATCTTTCTACATTCTTGATAGTCTTGCTTTCAAGACTCTGTTGATCTTTTGTTCCATCAGTCCAAATTGGACATGAGGCTTTCAACCTCCTTATACAGGTGTACAGATTCTTTACAAGAAATTCGAATTGTTTGCTCACTTCAAGTGGAATATATACATTTGGTCAACTGAGCCTGACAATCATGTAAATGAAATAAAATTTAGGTGTTATTTTACTGTAAAAGTTGCCACTTGTATGGCTGTATATCTACAGTCAGAGCAGGAATTAAAAAGCTTAAAACAATTAAAACAGGGCGAAACAAGGCTGGGTGAGGACCAGTGTTCACCAGGAGTGACAATAAATGTAGAGGCTACTGTATTTCTTAAGATGGACAACTTTTTAGTAAGAGTTACAGCCTGAATTGCTGTAAATGTTTTGCAGTTGAATGAAACTGCTATAACATTTTTATTGTAAAGAAGTGTGTTATTGGGGTTCTGGATGGCTCAGTGGGTAGAGCAGGCGTGCCTGGCTATAGTCCAAGATGCGGCTGTCCTGGGTTTGATTCTCCATCTCGGGCCATTTTCTGCATATCTTCTCCTTCTCTCTTCTTACCCTCTTTCTTTTTAAGTTACCGCTCAATAAAGATCACTAGTGCCAAGAAAAATCTTTTAAAAAAGCCTGTTGGACTTGAACCTGACCATATTGGATTTACTTATACTGACATGAATTTAACTGTACATAACTGGACCGGCTTGTCTTGTAATGTGCCCTGAGATGACTTAATTGAACAGAAGATCTCCTGATAATGTCATACAGCAAGCTAGAATGAACCAAACAAACAAAGAGCATCTTGCAGATGTCACCCAGGTCAATTATCCATGCAATTTACACAAAGTCAAATAACTTACAGGTCATCATCAGGCCATCAAGATAAAATGCTTTAATTCTAAAAAAAACAATTTTTTCATACTATATCAAATAACTATTTTAGCAATTATTAGTGTCAGTCATTTAAACATAGTTGAAGTTTTTAAACACTGACACTTTTTCTACAAGAACAAATACTGACACTGAACTGTGTGTTCACCTGCGGAGATGAACACACACATGACTATAGAATATTATAGAACTTTAAAGTTACAAGGGGATTTAGTAAACATAAATTAGCAACATTTTTATGATCAAAACTTGGAACTGATCACATACATGTGTAAACAGTATAATTCTGCCAGCCCTACAGGAATGTAAGATTAGCACTAACTCCATATTGTTACCGAGGCCCATAACATTAGTATCTAACTAAAAGTACATGTGAGTTAAAGTTTTTTGTGCTCTAAACCACTCGATGCAATCAGCTGGAATGCTTGTAACTAAATTCAAATGTATCTACATGGTTGGATTTATTTGATTATATATTTATGGATATGAATTGAACCCGTTTATCTTGTACAGTGTCATAGGCTGACGTTTGTTTGTTGTGCAACATAAACTTAACTGAACAGAATGTAACGTAAAGTAATGCAGACTAGTTGAACTGAAGCAGAATTGAGTTGGGATTTTGGATTAAGACCTTTTATACTTGTTGTACATGTTCCCAATATAACTGTGTTATTGCCCATCAATTTCTACATATACCTCATTTTAATAAGACATGTCTATCTGAAAGTTCCCTATCCCTGATAAGGGTAACATTATGAGCTAAAATGCTTCAAGTGATCTTCAGCTGATATTATACATGCTGTAGAGGATAAAAGTTTTACACTGTGTGTTGAGGAAAATTGTTAGCTGTGAGGAAAACGATAGTATGCAGCCATGCATGTTAAATATCCACATCAGTTTATCTGAGTGCTTATTTGATATCATTCAAAGCATTAATCCGTGCAAAGTAACTGGGCTTTGTTTTATGGCACAACTCCCTTTACAGTGTTGAAACAGAATGATGGTTACAGACACATTCAGAATATCAGTTCTCTTTCAATACAAACTGTACATTTGAGATCCCTTTCATTTCAGAGATTTGTTAAACCATTTTTCAGACAGGACAGTCTCTGCCTGGAGTCCATCATTCCCAGCTAAGGAGTCCCCTGGGTTGTGGTAAAGAGTCCTTTTTGTCAGTAAGTGAAGCTCCTGTGTTCAAGGGTTACGGGGTATGGTGTTATCAAGCGGTAAAGACAAAGCACAGTGTGCCGTCGTCTTCATGGCTCCTTTGCCGAACCGGCAGCTCAGCAGAGAGCAAAGGTGACGAAACACAGACTTACGGCAGATGATGAAGACCCAGGGATCCACGATGGGATTGAGAGCGTAAAAGCGGAAAGCTGCCAAGTTTTCTTTGTCTCCAGAAAATGGATGAATGGCATTGATAAAGCCAGCAATCTGAGGAGAAGAGAAGGTTATGATTAGATACAGATTTTGGTTTTCACTGATTGAAAATATCAATGCACAAACATGTAAGATCGCAAAATCTAAAAACACCCAGACTAAAATCTCTGTTTATGACTTGCAGCTCTGGTCTCTTCAGTACATTGCCTGGTAATTAAGTTGGAAAAGTATAAATGAAAAATCTGAGGAAAATGTCTTCAGATAATGTTCTATCTTCTTTACTGAAATCTCTCCTTGAATGTCTCCCCCAGGATTAAGATTATTGCCAGTTTCCCAGGTTATCTGACTGCAACTAAAAGTTGTCAAAGACTCACATTGCAGCGAAACTTCCCCAGACAGGTTTGTTATACCACAACTGTTTCAGTTTATGAAGCTTTAGCTGATGTCATACGGTTTATTTCTCAACGGTTCCCAAATGTTTTATCGTCAAACCCACAAAATAACAGTGGAAGAGACTCATGGCTGTGAACTGAATAAAGAAATCATTTCTTGCAAGTCAATTAAATACTGTCTTATCTCACCACGTATGGTGGTATATTTAAAAAAGTGTTTGTCATGGGTCTAAACATAAGAAAAATGAAGCATGTTCTGTGAGACATGAAGTCATGTCATGTAGTATGTTCAATTCAGTTTTCAATTCAGTTTTATTTATATGCCCCAATTCCCCCCATTTTTGCTCAAGGACTTCACAAAAGTCGGGTAATTTCCAATTAGTCCCTAACCTTAACAGTGGCAGTCAATTCATTTTATTTTTTAAATTGATAAAAGTTTTTCTTCTAAGAAACCCAGCAATTGCATCCGTCAGTCTTGCAGCTTCACTCCTCCCGGATGAGCATTAGAACGTGGACAGAACTGGCGTTGACTTTTTCCAACCCTCAAAATGACATCATAGCAACATGGAGAGGAAAAACCCCTTTTAACAGGAAGAAAACCCCTAGCAGAACCAGGGTCAGTGTGACGGCCATCTGCACGACCGACTGGGGTTTGAGAGAACAGACAAGACACAAAGGAACAAAAAAGCACTGATCCAAAATACTTTCTATGGGGAAAAAAAGTAAATGTTTTGTGGATGTAGCTCTTTAGTCGTTTATGAGTATCCCCCCTTCTGATGACTCGCTTCCTTAGTTAAACTCAGGATTGCTTAGTTAAATTTCAATGATCAAAGCTTTTTTTTATTGGACTACAACTCATTATACCAGCGAACCCAAAGGATCATTCTCTCTTAGCCAAGATGCTATCCCTACATAGAGGACGTAATGATATAATTACCCTTTAAAAAGATTTTTTTTAGAACCACTCTTCCAGTAAAACCCAAAGGATTTTATTTTATCTGTATCATTGAAATTTTCGGCCAGTATTTTTAGTTTTCTCAGAAGGTTGTATTTCTTTTAAATTTGTTTTCTGTTCTGTATTTTGGGGGTTTTTTTTTTTCTTTTGCTGTATTGAAATTGTATGTACTCTTTGTGTCTCGTTACTGAAAGCGCTATATAAAAATTTACCTTCCCTTCTTCCACACCACGTTTTTTTGGATGGGGGAATGAAATTTTAAAATGTGCTACAGTGTAAGGACTCACTAACTTCCATTTGCCAGGGTGCAGTGGTCTTTAATGTGAGCTATACGTGTCTCTACCTAGTGCAGCATTGCCTAGGGTGTGTCTCAATAGCAAACACCTCAGTCAACATGAAAGACATTAGTTGAGCACCGAAAAGAACTTTAATAAACAAGTAAAACGAAAAAACTGAGTAACCACCACCTCTATTTAAGGTACCCCTATTGTAAAGTGGACCCAAAAAAGAAACAGGGTTGAATTGTTTTAAAAAAATCTAAGTGTGGCCTGTATTTGGACCTTTCTTCATCTTTACCGCCAAGTAAGATCCAGTGCAGCCACTAGCCTTCATAAGTCATCTAATTAGTAAATACATTACACCTGTATGTACAAGCACAAATGTTTAAGTATAGGCACAGCTGTTCTGTCAAGGCCACAGAGGTTTGTTAGAGAATATTAGTGAACAAAGAGCATCATGAAGACCAAGGAACATGGCAGGTTGTGGTGAAGTTTAAAGCAGAATTAGGTTACAAAACAATATCCTAAGCTTTGAGCATCCCATAGAGCTCTGTTCAATCTATCATCTAAAAATGAAGAGTATGGCACAACTGCAAACCTACAAAGACATGTACGTGCTCTTCAGCTTAAAGGCCGGGCAAGGACAGCATTAATCAGAGAGGCAGCCAAGTTGTTTATGGTAACTGGAGGAGCTACAGAGATTTACAGCTCAACTAGTAGTTGTGTACTCCACAAAACTGGCCTCTAAGAGTGACAAGCGTAGTACCATTGTTAAGATAAAGCTAAATAAAAAACTAATTTGGAGTGATGTGGGGGACATGCCAAACATAATGAGATCTGGTCAGATGAGAGAAACCCTTAACTTTTTGACCAACATGTTGCAGTAACCTAACACCAAATATACCATACCCCGGGGTAAAACGTTTTTGGGAAAAAAGGGTGACTCTCACATTATGAAAAAAGGGGATGGAGCTAAATGCAGGACAATTCCAAAATAAGATATGTTAGATAGCTCTGCAAACTATTAAATCAGATAGATGGGATACAAATGCATGCCACACTTTTCAGATCATTATTTGCAGAGAGAATCCTTCATGAGGACCACTAAATCGAGGCACGTGACGTCGCCCGGTACGGCGGAGCCGGGGTCCCACCCTGGAGCCAGGCCTGGGGTTGGGACTCGTCGGAGAGCGCCAGGGGGCCCCCGGGGTTCTCCTCCCGGGACCCGGCCGGACCAAGCCCGACGGAGACGCGGGCCCACCCCCAGGGGCCCCACCACCTGCGGGGGGAACCGTGGGGGACTGGGGAAAAGAGGTTGGGTGGCGGACGAAGTGGCGGGAAGTGGAGACCTCAGCGGCCCATCCCCGGATGCGGGCTGGCTCTAGGGACTGGAATTTACCTCCGGGGGGGGAAAGGACCCTGGCTTGTGCGGGAGGTCGAAGATATGACTAGAAATATCCCCCTCGCCTCCATGACCGGGGGCTCGGAACCCATCTCCTTGAAGGGGCTGGACTCTCTTCTACTCTGGCTGGCCCGGGGGAGGCGGCGGGCCCGGGGGGGGGTTTGCTTGTTGCCCCCCCAGCTCAGCCTCTAGTGTTGGGGGGTTTTCCCCGGGGGATAGAGGGTCGCACCCTG